GGGAACTTGATACACAAGGAGTCATTATTGTTCAAGGGTCCGTCCACAACCTGGCAATGCTGCCACAGTTTAGCATGATTTTTCTGCCGGCCAAATAGTACTCTTCACCTTTAGAATAGCTTTCCACACGGAAGAGAGTCTTAAGTTACAAGGAGAAGATCTAAATGAACTAGGAGTAGATGATGCCCCGCATGTTTAGGAGACTCATCCCACTAATTTATATAGGAGAGTCATCCTAATAATGTAGCGGAACAAATCTCTAATATGGTCATCCCACTAATAATATAGTGGATTACTCTCCTAGATATATACTCAATTAGTGGGATGAATATATTAGAGTCTAAATTAGTGGGATGACTCTCCTAATTTATTTATATCTCAATAATATAGTGGAAAAAAATCTCTTCACGATAAGATATTTTCTTTAACACCGGTGGTTGTGGATCGAGCGTACAAGCGATCGAAAGAGACGGCGGCAGTGGTGCGACGAGGACAACTCGTTCATTATGCAACCAGCCCAACACTGACTAGCTATAAACACCACCACGCTTAGTCATCACAGCGGGACGCCATTCTCACCGTGAGTCCGTGACACCGTCGCACACACACAACAAGGTCAGCCATGGACAAGAAGAGGGTGGCCATCGTCGGCGCCGGCCTGAGCGGCCTGGCGGCGTGCAAGCACCTGCTGGAGCGCGGCTGCCGGCCGGCTGTCTTCGAGGCGGACACCGTCCTCGGCGGCGTGTGGGCGCACGCGCCAGAGTGCACCAGGCTCCAGACGCCGCGGCCCATGTTCCAGTACTCCGACTTCCCGTGGCCGGAGTCCGTCACGGAGGTGTTCCCCGACCACCGCCAGGTTGCGGACTACCTCTACGCCTATGCGCGGCACTTCGGCGTGCTCGACTGCATTAGGTTCGGCCGCAGGGTGGTCGGGATGGAGTATGTGGGCGTCAGCGAGCAGCAGGTGGCGGCGTGGGAGGACTGGGCTGGGTGCGGCGAGGCATTTGGTTCCGGCGACGGTGAGTGGTGGCTCACGGTGGCCGACGTGGACGGCCTCGTGGAGGTAAGGATCCAACATATTTGCACATATACTTCCATGGTGTATACTGTGTATGCCCCTGGCTACACGGCACCATTGGTGCGCTGAGAACAATGCACTGCACTGTTGGTGATATTGATTCGTTGGACTTTATGATGATATATATGCTGCACCTACTAATGTGATTTTTCGGCACATGAACGTCACACTCACACAGTCAGACAACATAGAAGTGCCACCTACCCCAAAAAATGGCATGTGACCACTGGAAGTGAATAAATCAACATCTACTCCCTCCGTTCCGAATTCTTGTCACAGGTATGGATGTATCTAGATGTATTTTAGTTCTAGATACGTCCATTTCTGCGACGAGTAATTTAAAACGGAGGGAGTACTTTTCTGATCTTCTGACTTCAAGTGATACTCCATGTACTAGTAACCTCTCATCTTTGATGTTCTAAATTCAAGCTTGGATGACCATGAGCCTTCAGAATCTCAGGGAAAATACTAGGAGCAGGAATCGAAGTCTCCTTTTTTAGTTATAAGGGGCCTTGCCCCTAATTCATTCATCTTGAGGGATGGTAAGTGAATGATAGCGAAGCACGGTTCCACGAATTATTACAGTGGCACCACTTCTCTACCACCAACTCATCACCCGGCATCCCAAAAAATATATCATCCGGAACTGATCATACACAAAAATAAAATGTACCACATGTGTTGCTAATTAAGAGAATTGATTGCAATATATCTCAGTGAGACATGATAGTACGGAGCATAAATATTTGTATTAATAATATGAGGGCCAGAACTAAGAATACATATGATTTATTGTATTTGATTGTTGTATGGTTTTTTTATTGAATATAGGTAGCATTATACGATGCAAATTCCCATCCATGGTTCCATGAGTGGAGGGGGGCCTTTTCCTATGCATGATTGTGTACCTAGTTTGCATGCTTGCACATAGAAATGAGTTAGTGGGCATCGCCTATTTGGTTATATAGAATGTCCAACTTTTACAATCAAACAACACTACCAAACACCCATATGCAATGGATAGTGTGACCCTAATTAATCTTACGATCGGAATTTACCATGCAAACAAATAAGTAGTCAACTATCAGATCACGCTTTTCTTCTTCTAAATTTAACCTCTCGGGTAAATGAATGGCAATAATTCGGATTATCTGTGCAATTCCACTTCCCCTCATTTCCAGGTACACAAGGCAGACTTTGTGCTTCTTTGTGTTGGGAGGTTCAGTGGTGTGCCCAACATACCTACATTTCCTATTGGCAAAGGCCCAGAAGTGTTTGACGGGAAAGTGATCCACTCCATGGAGTACTCAAAAATGGGAGGCAAAAAAGCTAGGGAGATGATCAAGGACAAGCGTGTGACTGTTGTTGGCTACCTAAGATCAGCAGTAGACATTGCAAATGAATGTGCAAACATCAATGGTACACAACGTCATTTTCTTACAGTAAAATTATCTCCTTTCCTCTTGCAAGAAGGTTGATATATCAATTTTAGAGTGGTAACCTAAGCATTATTATATATAGCCAGTTTTTTCCATTATCAAAAGTGTCATTGTCTACAAATGTTATGTTTTCCTAGTTTCTATAGTTGCATTGGTATGATAAAAATAAGGCTATGACTTTATTACTAATTGTTTATTAGTTCTTTAGGTACCAAAAACCCATGCACAATGGTAGTACGAACAAAGCGTTGGATTATACCAGACTACTATGCTTGGGGTGTCCACATATCAAATTTCTATCTCACCCGCTTCGCCGAACTACTTATTCACAAGCCTGGTGAAGGCTTTCTCCTCAGCATGTTGGCTACTGTCTTGACTCCACTGGTAGTACAACATGTTATATTTTTGTATTAAATTGTAATCGAACTTGTCATCATTGAAAGTTTAAATGGTTTTGTTTGGACTAAATCCAAACATGCATGTTTTGCCTTGTTTGTGTTGAGTAGAGGTTGATGTTTTCGAAGTTTGCTGAGAGCTACTACTCCATTGCAATGAAGAAACATCACATGGTGCCTGACCATAGCTTTTTTGAGGGATTAGTGGCATGTGTGGCTGCCATTGCACCAAAGGATCATTACAAGAATCTGGAGGAAGGTAGCATCGTTCTTAAGAAGTCAAAAACATTCAGCTTTTGTGAAGAAGGTGTGCATGTAGAAGGTGAATGTACTCCAGTAAAGAGTGACATCGTTATCTTCGGAACCGGATTCAAGGGTGATCAAAAGATCAAGGACATGTTCACATCAGAATACTTTCAGAGCATAGTCGTTGGCTCAACATCAACGACCGTGCCACTTTATAGGTAATGAACTCGCTATATATGCATCATATTTATGTAGTTTGAACGTCTTGATTTTGAAGAGTATGTTAATTCCTTATCTTAGGGAGTGCATCCATCCAAAGATTCCACAGCTCGCAGTCATCGGCTATTCAGAGAGCTTGACAAATATCTATACAACAGAGCTTATGTCCAAGTGGATATCACATTTTATGGATGGTGGTTTCAGATTGCCAAGTGTCAAAGAAATGCAGAGGGATGTCCTTGAATGGGAGAAGTTCATGAAGCGCTACTCTCGAGACTATTTCCGTAGGTCATGTGTTGGAATTGTTCATATATGGTATAATGATCAACTATGCCAGGACATGGGATGTAACCCAAGAAGGAAGAAGGGTTTTTTCTCTGAATTATTTGAGCCTTATGGTCCTTGTGATTATGTTAATCTTCACCCCAAGTAATAGTAGATCATATGTTTGCACTTGTGTATAAGTTGTCTACCAGACCCCTCGTGTTTACATACTTGCATGGTTTTTTGTCATAATATTGTATGGTATTGTGCCCTGACCAGTTGGTGGCTTGTTCGGTCCACCAATCTAGTGTAGTAATATCCAATGTCAAGGAAGAAATAAAAGCATAGGCACAATTATTATACCATATACTCGTGCCTCTTAGAAATCCCTTATTGAAAGTATACTATATATATGCAGAATTATATATAATGTTAGCCTCTGTTGTCTATTACTAATCCCTAGCTAATTGCACATACGTTGCTACAAAACAATAATAACAATACATATGTAAGATTTGAGTGAGTGGAAATCTACTCACCTCAAAAAGATACAAAAGTATATAAGCAAAGACTATGTCATCGTTTGGAATAGTGTTACTCTCTATATCCTTGGGTGGGATATATACTTACATTATTTTTTAGCAAAGACCACACACAACAATTCAAACTTGACTAGTGAAATAGAATAACAAAATTGTGATGGACTATAACTTCACAACATATTGCCTTATATCCCAAATTTCTCTAAGATGGTCAAATGTGGGGCCTCCGGCCACATCCATGGGGGGTACCATCCAGTCGCAAATGAAGCTCACCCACCCGCGGAGGAAAGCCCACACTACCCTCCCGACACCACCCAAGACCGCCGAACCAAGCCTAATAGGCACCGCCACCGTCGAAAGAGCGACACCATAGCCACACTACCACGTCCACCGGCCAAGCAAACTATACCAGAGGCGGCCGCCCGCAGCACCCACTGCCACCTTGGGCGTGCGAAAACACAGCACTGCCTATCACATCGTCACCACACATACGTGCCAACCACGTTGAGGTACCCAGGGCCAGCGCCATGCCTTGGGCCCGGGCCGTCTGACTGCACCGGCCCTACGCGCAAAGGGACGAAGAGGCCCCGCCTACGTTGAGCTTCGCTCGGCCGCACCTTCTGGTGGAAGTGAGGGAGGAGGAGGAGAAGCCCATCAGTGATGATGTAGGGTTACCTCCTAGTCACTATGAGGGGTGATGTGGGAAGGCAGGGCTTTTTTTGGTCGACGTTGTGGCATAGACTTCCGGTCAATAAGCATGTTCTCCCCTTGATCTAAAATGACACTTCCCAAAGCCAAATCTTTGATTGCATATTTTTCAAAAGATGACATGTATGCCCAATCATGCATCAATGACAGCTATATTAAAGTTCAAGAACACAAGATAGGTAAGAAGTAATAAGAGGGTGTGAGATAATGGAAGAGGTTACTGTCCCAGCCTCTGCAGCGGCTCTATAAATTGCAGAGTGTGCTAGTATGTGAAAACCTAGAGAGAGCAGCAAGGTAGTACATTTCTAGTGATGCATAATTTCAAATTAAACCAAGCTTTATGAGATATATGGATAGGTCATATTTGCTTCCCATTCTCGCAATCGACATTGTTTAAAGAAATAATGTGAGACACATAATTCGGCCTAAGAGAGATCAAACTCAGGTCGGTTCACTGGTGGAAAAAGGGCCTTTGGTCGCGGTTCGCAACTGCCATTAGTCGCGGTTGCGCAACCGCGACCAAATAGGCGCGACTAAAGCCCCCCCCCCCCTTTAGTCGCGGTTGCTTAAGAACCGCGACTAAAGGCCCGTCCACGTGGGCGCCAGGCGGCCGTTGG